CTTAGAATGGTTGTTATTATTATTCTTACGTACATTATTATAAAATCTGAATATCCATGATAACATTCTTACAATTTTCTTAAATGATGAGAAATACTTATAGTACCATCCAATACAATTATCACTTCTTTGCCAACGTAAACAATAACTGTCTTACGTATTTCTGAATTAACCAAATCCTCATCTGGTTCATCATTAGATTTAGGCCAATTTGCCTCATCTTCCCGTAACCAATCAGGTCCCTCCCACCATTTTCGTTCTATTAATTGATCTGCATAACAACCTCTAGAAAGTAGGTCAGCAGGATTGAGACTACCAGGGACATGTCGCCATACAGTGGGGGAGGTCAAAGACCTGATTTCCTGTACACGATTAAAAACGAATGCTCCCCAACGTTGATTTCGCCGTATCCAACTTAAAGCCGTCGAGGAGTCAGTCCAACAATGAATACGAACTTCATGTAGGCCAATATCATTAATAACTGAAGACAATAACCTAGAACCAATATTACAAGCAAGAAGTTCTAATCGAGGAATCGTAATAGGTTTTAAAGGAGCTACTCTCGATCTTGCGTGTATCAAAAAACTAACCTTCACCTTTTTGCCACTCTGTACTCTTAAAAAGACGCATGCACCATACGCACTTTTACTACTGTCACAAAAGAGATGTATACTCACAGCTTCATTAATAGATTTGAGACCTACCCATCTAGGTATTTGGATACTGGATAGCAAGTACAACTTTTTAAGCCAAAACCTAAACTTTTTGGTTAATTCATGGGGAAGAACATCGTCCCATTTAAGCCTTAAATTCCAAGTTTCCTGTAAAAATGTAGTTTTGGAATCAACATTACAGGAGCCGTATACCCTATAACGTCAAACACCTGATGAGCTACTGCTAAAACTAGTCTTTTAGTAACTGGGTCATCCAATTTTATATCTTGACTTATTTTGCAAGATAAGGTATCTGTAACTGTATGCCATACAAGGCCCAAAACAGACACATCTCCTTCCGTGGAGGAATCTTCCTCTGGCACAACACTTCTTATATTGGATTTCCAGAATCTTAAATTAAAATGACCCGAAGCCATAATTATTTGTGATTCATTTACAAACTTTCTCATTTCTATTTCTGAATCCATACTAGCCACACAGTTATCTACGTAAAAGGATGTTTTCAAAATCTCCGCTGTATGACTTAAGCTTTCGGGAACTACACTCAAATGATATTGTATTGTAGCGGCCAATAAATACGGACTACACGTAATACCAAAAACTACCCTTCCATGCCGATACAGTTCAACTTGTTCTTGATTATCCCTACTGAACCACATAAATCTCAAAAAGTCTTGATCTTTTTCCCTTATAGATATTTGCAAGAACGCTTTTTCTATATCTGAAGTGACACCAACGTAATTCTTGCGAAACCGATTAAGAATCGAAGGTATAATTTCTATTAAATTTGGTCCAGTAGATAAACAATCGTTCAATGATGGGTAACCAGGCGAATGAGAACTTGCATTAAACATCGGTCTTATACTCGTGCTACTATTTTCTTTAACAACTGCTCTATGAAGTAAATAATGTACACCCTTATATTTATTCTTATCCGGTACTTTTTCAATTATCCCGAGTGCTAACCAGTTCTGGAAAATGTCTTCGTAAGCTTCAAAATTTCCCGTAGTCATTAATTTTCTTTTAGTACTTACAAGACATTTTTCTGCTATCACTTTGTTTTCGGGTAAAAGCGAGCTATCCAACACCCAAGGTAATGCTACTTCGTACCTTCCCTCTGAATTTACCGTAAGAGTCTCTTCAAAATATTTTTGCGTATCCTCCTGTAACTGAGTTTTGGTTTTACTTACGGAAGGTTCACCAATACCCAAAACATCTAACTTCCAGAGATCACTTATACATTGACCCTTCACTAACAGAGAAGAAATTAGGAGGGATGCAGTATTTATCGTAGTTGGCTCAGTGCCAGTAAATTTACCCATAACAGTCCAGCCTAATTGCGTATGCACCGCGCCTGACGCCGCACGTAAGGGGAACAATTTTTCCAGTTAGCAACTTACCAGCAAAATCCGCACCAATTAGTAATTTTATCTCTTTATCTACCTTATATGTACCATTTTCTAAATCACTTAATTTGATACCATGTGACTTAAGTTCGCGTAACCACGAACCAGATGGGAGTTGCTTAATTTCAGAACAAATTTTGTTTTGACCAAGTACTTCTAATTTACACTTATATTTACTATATATATTGCTTACTTCAATAACATAGTTTTTATATACATTTTCTGAAGTCTCAACTCCACCAAAAAGAAATTGCTTAATTTTTGATTCACCAATACACTTACAATTTAACCTTTGAGCAACATCATTACATAAATATGATTTCATAGAACCACTATCATAAATTGCTCGTACAAACATTTCTTTAGAACCATTCTGAATTTTTACAATTAAAGTTTGAAGATATACATCTGATACCTTAACAGTTATTAAGAATGCCTGTTTTGTTTTCTTCATTCCCTAACTTTGTGACACTTTTTATTTTGTTAGAAGGCAAATCAGGGCACATAATCACAAAATGTCGATTTTTACATAAGGTACACCTATGTTTAGCTGTGCACTGATTTGCTCTATGGTTTTTCTTAAGGCACACAAAACAAACATTCTTTTTCTTAATAATATCTTTCTTACATTCTAAACTCATTAAAGATGCATCTTTACAACTTTCAGACAAATGGGATTTTTCACAAAAAATACAAGTATCAGACTTTTTATACTTTTGAAAATTATCATTACACTTACTACTATTTGCATTAATTAGTTCACATGCAGTTGGAACAACAGGTTTTGATGTCAAAAAAAACTTATTTTTCTTATTACTTACTTTATCAGAACCCAAAACATCACGTGGTAAGTTTAACTCTAAATTCAGTTTCTACTTCCTTTTTTAGAAAATCAATTAATGACTCTAAATCACTCTTACCTGTTGTTTCAGGAGACATACCTCGTTGTCTTTCCCAAATTTGTATTAAATCAGCAGGAAGTGCTGATTCCACTAAAGGAAATAAAAACAACTGCAAATTTATCTTTAGTTAAACCGAGTGATTCCAATGCGCGTAGTTGAGTTTGCAACTTGTCATAAAGAGTTAATAAGTCTATCTTTTGTTTGTCATTGATTACCAGTTTTAATAGCTCTCTAACATAAATTTGAATTAAAACATTTTCATTTCCAAATCGTTCTTTGAGATACTCCACGGCTTTTTCGTAATTTTCTTCCGTAGCAGGAGGAAAACTCTCCACTATTGCTCTAGGCGCAGTCTCAGGTTTTGTAGATTGTAGTAGATAATGAAACTTGTCTCTCTTGTCGATGCGAGTATCTTCATGTATTTTACTAAACCTTGTCCAAAATGTCAACCACTTTCGGGAGTCTCCATCGAACTTCACCAGTTCGATCTCCGGCAATTTCTGTTTTGCGGCTGTAACTATTCCTGATGAAGAACCGCTATTCGTTGACCCAGTAGAAGGCTGTGAACACACTTATCCTTTTTCCTGTTGGCTTTTACTTTCAACGTAGATAATTTATCGTAATATTCTTGAGCTGCACTAAATTCTCTTTCGTATTCTTCTTCAGTACAGCCTTTTTTCTGTAGAAGTTCCAAAAAAGAGTCATCCGTATTTCGTAAAGTTTTATACTTCTCTGAAATTTGATCTAAATAAATTTCTAAATCGTCCAAATCCAGAGAATCTGATCGTATCAGTTCATCTAACTTATTAGCTGTTTTCGTAAATACACTCCTAATTGCTTTCCGCTTCTGTTTTAGTGTTTCTAAATCATCCATTTTTGCACCTAGGAACTTCTCTTATTTTCGTAAATTATCAAATGTCGAAATCAATAATGTCACCCTGTGACATTCATCCTGGCTGGCTCGCCAAATTTGTTGCTTAACAAGTAAATCATAGGTTCGAAAATCTGAGCCGACACTTTTTAAAAACACCAACATTTATTTTCACGACATTTCTAATTCTACAAAATCTTAAGTGCAACTAACTATCAAACAGAAAAGCAGACGTAGACGTAATGATGCATCATCTGGGCACGTGATCCTCGTGACAGACGAATTCTTTAGGGTTGCCACAGAAAGGCAGTGTGTCGCCACACATAGCTATTTTGCTTTTGCTAAGTTGCTTCGTAAATTGTGCTAAAGCACAATTTTAGCATTTATTACTTTGTTTATTTTTCAGATTCAAAATATTGTATAGTCACCAAAATGGAAAGTAACATCAGTTTATAGTACGATAGTGAAAAATAAAAATGTTTCATCTTAATGTTATTTTTAATACAATTTCAATGTACTATTAGCATTATTTTAATGAAATTGATCAGTGTTATAATATTTTTAAAAAAATTCTATAGAAAGTAATCTTAAAATCGCCAAAATGTTGGTAAGTCACGAATTTTGGAACCGTTTAATAAAGAATTCATATTTCCAAAAGTGAAAAGTTGTTTAAGTGTTCATTAGGAAAACTGGAATAATTTTGAAATACTTATGTTTCACTTCTTGCTCAGAAACTTGAGTATTTATATTAGAAATAGAAACAAGTTTTAGTCCATAAACCTATTCACCCACTCAAAAGATGGGTTAAATTTGTCAATGAATTGCCAAAAATATTTGTCAAAAATGCTATTTCACATTTAAAATAGCAATTATATAAAATCAGAAAAGACAGACAGAAATTTCAGATGTTTAAAATTAATGACCTCCTACTGAATTTGGTTGAAATTAAGGACTTTTAAGGACCAAAAATCAATTCCAAAAAACCTAAGGACTCTTAAGGATCATACGAGCCCTGCCATTGCTCGCTTGAAAATCATCGAGTTTGTTAATCAAAAATTCGTTTTAAAGTTCATTATTTTAATAATTCTTATGTAATAAATTTGTTATTCTACTAGATTTTAAATAATTTTTGTTATTATTATTATAGAACAGTGGTGGCTTTATGGAAAAGTCATATCCTAACTTTCATGAACTGGCAATTGGGCATTTTGATACTCCTCAAAGTTATGGATTTACAAATTATCGTCAACATGAACCCGTGAGGAAACTGAAACCAGGACTTCAGCGCAGGAATGCTATAAGATGGAAAAATCAAATCATTCCCAAGATGAAAGATCTCATTGGTAAGTAGTTTTTTAGAATTTCTATCAGTTGATGAAGTTTAAAAAAAAAAAAAAAATGCAATAGGTATAATATTCATTTTGAATTCATGTATAAGTGATTATATAATGTGTCACAAATAATTCTGGGGAACAATTTATTATACAGTTTCTGTTGATTTTGATTTTTGAGCTGTTTTAGAGTTAAATAAGCATGCTGATTTCAAAACTGTAGTTAGTTTTCTTCTACCACGGCATTTTTTTTTTTTTTTTTTTTCTTTACACCTTATGTGAATGCAACCACTCACTGCGACATTGAGTGTGAGTCATAAGAAGTACTGCTCTCTGGTTGGCTGACATAAAGCCTCTGATGGTGGCAGCTGGTAATTGACAATGTAGGAGACCAGCAACAGGGGCATACTTGTCTAAATTTCTTCAGTATGCCTGAAATACTGTACTGAAATGTTGTGTTTCCCTCGAATGTAGTGAAGTGCATTCTGAGGCAGAGTCTGAGCTTTTTTTTTTTTTTTTTAAACAAGGTAGCAGTGTTTAGTTTTTATTTATACTTGAACTGAAACTTTTCCTCATGTATACATCTGCTAGTCCGTGTAAGTGCTTAAACAGCCCTAATTCATGTTGTTACATATGTAGGAGTTTTACCATTCCCAGTCAAAGGACAATCATCAATACAACTGCCAGGCAAGCCTATTTTGCCCATTTTAAAGTGAAAATTGGTGTTTAAGATGTATCATAGATCCCTTACAAGGTGTGCAAGCAGCGTGTCTAGAATTTACAGATGTGGATGAAGGGAACATATTCTAAATTTCCATTTGGTATATCTATGATTTGGCTAGAGCCCAAAGATCATTCAAGTAATTGTTACTTTTGTATAGTGAAAATGTCAGGGTATAACCAGAAAAACTAATCCGAAATAGGATATGTCAGCTGTATGGCCTCACTTAGCTGAACTCCCAGTGCTAGTTTTCAAAGAATTACTCTTTGTGGAAATGTAGAAAAATTAAAATTATGAAATATGTATAGCACAAAGAAATAATTTTTGCTGAGGATTTTCTTTCTTTTATTATTATTTTAAAGTATGATTTTTCTTATTAAATAGCTTAATCAACTGACATTCTGACTGCATTCCATATAGGTGAAAGACGACTTAGAGCTGCTGCAAATGCCAATGACCTTGAAGCTGGTATGTATAAGCTTTATAAAAAATGGTAATTTTTTATCTTCCTTCCTTATGATGTAAAAATATGAACTGCATACTCTTTTTTTTTTTTTTTTTTTTTTTTTTTTTTTTTTCCCATTATGCTCAACTCTATTGTCTTTTTCTATTATGTAAACTTTTAGAAAATATGTAAATACAATATAAAATTTCATTGTGCATTTTAATTTAGTATCCTTTTACAATTTTGTTTTTATTATTATTTTATATCTTATTGTGCCTTTTTGTTTTTATATGATATAGAGTTTCATTATAGCTTCTATGCACTATTACTGCATCAAGCCATGAAAACCGTAAATAATTCATTTTAATGTAAGGTTAAAAACCTTTAAGTTAAATTCTGGTACATTGCTTTCTTGTAGCACAGAGGTTACAGTATCCACTTAGATGCTCCTTTTATTTATTTAGTTAATTGGTTTTTGTATTTATTTATTATTAGCCCAAAGGAGCAATTTGCCCAGAGAGGCTATTAATTTTGTTTTGGCATTTTACATCGCGCACTATAAAACATCGTTTCACTTTTCAAATTGTTGCCACCAAATATTAGAGCCCTGCATTATATTTGAAGAAATTAAATAATGAAGAATCTATACGAATGTATGCATGTTTCTCTCATTGTAATAAAACAATGGTACCTAGAAACATCTGATTTTAAATAGCATAGGCCTCTTCTCAAATATGGGCATCTTGGAAGCCCAGATTTGGAATTTGTTTTATTATCTAGTTCATATTTTGTACAATTTTAACGAATGTTTGATTAACAAACTTGACAATTTCAAAGTGAGCAGTGGCAGGGCTCGTACGGTCCTTGAGAGTTCTTAGGTTTTTTGGAATCTATTTTTGTCCTTAAAAGTCAATTTCGACCAAATTCAGCAGAAGGATTAATTTTGTTCATCTGAAATTTCTGTCTGTCTTTTCTGTTTTTGCAAATGCTATTTTAAATGTGAAATAGCATTTTTGGCAATTTATTGACAAATTTAACACATCTTTTGAATGGCTAAATAGGTTCATGGATTATAATTTGTTTCTATTTCTAATATAAACAGTGAGATACTCAAGTTTCTGAGCAAGAAGTGAAACATAAGCATATCGAAATTATTCCATTTTTTTTTTTTTTTTTTTTTTTTTCTAATGAAGAGCTCTTAAACAACTTTTCGCTTTTTGAAATAGGAATTCTTTATTAAATGGTTCCAGATTTGGTGACTTATCAACATTTTTTTTATTTTAAGTTCACTTTCTATGGAAAATTTTTTTTCAAAACATTAGCATGATCAATTTCATTAAAATAATGCTACTTCGTTGAAATTGTATTCAAGAAATAACATTTATTTTTTGCTATCATATTATGAAGTGACATTACTTTCCATTTTGGCGACTTAATTATATTTTGAATCTGAAAAATAAACAAGGTAATAATAATTGCTTAAATTGCATTTTAGCACAATTTATGAAGCAATTCTTAGCAAAAGCAAAATAGATATGTAATTAATTAAAAATGCCTTCATTTTAATTTTTTCATGGTAACAGTTTTTTTCCTTTTTTCATGGTAAGAGTTTTTTTGTCTCAATATTTATCAGTTTTCTCTATAAAATTAATTTTACGCTTTTTTCCCCTGATTTTTTTTTTCCCCCCATCATATTTCTGGCTTTTGCGGTTACAGAACTGGTAGGGATAATTTTTCTTCAGGATTTTAGACATTGCAACTTGGAAAGCTTAGAAGGATTTGAAGACAAGATTTTTAGACCCACATTATTGCTGCCAATATTTGAATTTGTTGCACGATAACTATGTTATGAGTTTGTTACAACGTGTTGTTGAGCCAGCTTAGATATTAAAATTAAATTGTGTAGTCTTATTTTTAGTTTGAGTGTGACTGTTGCTGTTTAATTGAATCACCATAAGCTGTACTTGATTTTGCTAGCAGAAAAACACTTCTTTATGTTCTAAGATCTTTTTAAATAAGAGGTTTATTTAAACCTTTATCTGATTTTCAGACGTAACAATAATTTGTTTCATGTCTGTCAGGAATTTTGAATTATTTAACTTTTATCAGATCAAGTAAATCCTTATAGGTACATAGTCGAGAGATTGAAAATTTAGGATTTAAAACACGCAGAAACTACTATGAGTATTGGTTTGCATATTGAAACAAATTTCTAATTGTTAGAAAAAATGCTTAAAGAGAAGGAAATTGATATAAATTAGCCAGAATGTCTGGAAAGACTTCAAATTAAAAAGTTGCACAAATATTTTGTTGAGTTTTTTTTTATTGTGTAGTTATCTTAATATTGTTTAAGAATCAGTGTTATATGCTTCCAGTTCGAATGAATGCTTTACGGGAACAGAACCCGCAGCATAGCGCCATCCAGAGTCCCAACCTCTAGGTTGACTGGATTACAGCACTGCTCCACCGGTGCCAGTCATCAGTGTTATATGTATATTAAAGTGGAACATGTTAATAGATTGTTATTTTAATAGCGATTTTTTAACAAATAGTTATAAAAAATAAATTTAATAATGGCCATGTAAAGCTATAATGACTAAGGGTATCTAACTAGCTAATTTATTTGTTTGTAATTAACTTGTCACGCTTAAAAGTTATCTCTGCATATTAAAGTGAGTTATTGCCTTTCATTAATCATTACCATGGTCACAAGATACATGTAATTGTCTCAATATTGAGACAAATACATGTATCTTGTGACCATGGTAAACTAACAAAAATGTAAATAAAAACAAAAACAACAAAAATGTAAAAATTATTGTAAAACTTAATTCTTTGCATATAGTGAGACAGACTTAAAATATTACAAAACAACGTATCATTTCTGGTGCTTCAGTGGCTTATTGGAACTTTAAAATATATTAACTGGATTACTACTCCAAAAACTCTACATGAAGTTATGACACTAACTGCGTCAGACAGACAGAGCCAAACTAACTTTCAAAACTTGCCCAATGGGGCCTATATCAGGATTTCAGGTTTGTTCTTGTTCTTGTTGTTTCAAGTCCAGCAGACCTCTGTCTAGGCAAGCAGCAGTGGTGACAACAGCCAGTCTTCCGTAATGAATCATGCTGATTATGATTCTACTTTTTATTTTAACTTTTGCCATTTGACATAAAATCTACCTGCTATTTACTAAACCTCTAAACTGAGCAAGTTCATGACAAAATGAGACGTAAAAGAAAACATAAACATAAAGCTAACTGTAAAATAAAATGTCACTAATCTTCTTTCAACTAAAACACTATTATAAGGGTAAAATATTTAATGCTAGCTGTTAAATTTTACAAAGTTGATTTTATTCTCAAATTTGTTTTATACAAGTGAAGTTCAGGCATAGCTAATATCTTTTATTGAATTTATTCAGTTCCCACTTGTTGATGGGTCCTTAAAAGTACTTAATTTCCATGTGCAGAAATGTGAAGGAACCCTGAATGGTAACACTGTACAAGGGCAAAAGATTTTATCTCCAGTGTGTGAGACTGTGTATCAGATATTCTAAAGATATGCTCTTTTTTAATATTTTGTGATATTGCAATTAAATTGAATTTTATGGTTTAAGTGGGAAGAACATGATATTTAATAAATAAAATTAACACACAAAGTGTTAAAAAAGCACTCCTTTGGGCAAAATGTAAAAGTTTTTGCTGTCTTAGTTTAAAACCAAAAAAAAGGTAAATGCTAATGAACCCTTATTTGTAGTTGAACTAACATTACATTCTTATAGTAACATTTTTCATAGAATATTTCAAAAACCTTAATAATCTTTAATAATAGTATTATGCAATTTTGAAACTGAGGATGATTTGTTTTTAATGAATTATGAATAATTTTGCAGCTATCAAAACTTGATTACTTAAAGGTTTCTGTTTCTGCAGATCGCTTTATTTACAATATTGTATAAAACAATTCTAGATTAAATATGTAACAAAAGAGCTGAGGTATTTATGAAGCATCTTTGTATTGTAATAATACAAAGTCATGTTTTCCCATTTTGTTGTGTACTTTTTTTGAAGGCAGCTTATGGATAAACACATGACAGTGTGTTTGTCTATACTGCATTTATAGTACTGTATTTTTCATCTCTTGAAGAAATAATATCAATTAACTAATATGCATTCTTTTATAGGGGTTTAAGGATCTGTTCTTTCTTAATCAGTTGCTTGAATGATTAAGAGAGAACAGATCTGTTCTTTTTTAATTGGTTGCTTAACATGGGCAGTTGAAAGTCAGCCATGTATGCGAGGTGCAATTAATTTATGTCCAAAATATTACTGTATATTTTTTATAATCTGCCTCTGCTGCAGTGATCAGATTAAAGGCATGAATTTGTATTCATATATTGATAGAAATTTTAATATAGCCGAACATATTATTTGAAGTGTTGTACTTTTATGTGCATTATTAGATAAGATTTTGGGGGGGAAGAAGATCTATTTTTTGTGATATGCTTATGTTACATTTCAACCAAAATCAAAGAACACTGTTAAAAGCTAAAAATTTTGCATTCCATTGCATCAAATCCAGCATATACTATTGCTGAATTAGACCTTGGAACCTTATTAATTTTAACATAGTATTTGTGATTGTTAAGAAACTTAAGTGTAAGACTGAAACTTAAAATATATATGTATGATCATTAACATTATCCGTATATATATTAAAGTATGAATGATAAGTGATAGTTTTGAATGATAAGATGAACTTTCATATTCATAATATTTGAAAGTTTAACTACAGTTATTGAACACTTTCTGGTATTACAGTAAGAAATTTACTTGATGATGGTGTTGATCCATGTTCTGCTGATGGCAGACAGAGAACTGCCCTGCATTTTGCTGCAGCCGGTGGTCATCTTGAAGTTGGTAATTATTTTCTGATGTTTGATAACTCAAGTTTAAAATTTCTTTGCTATCCTTATAAAAATGTGTCCAATATTTTTGTTTGATTTAAATATAGCTGGTAAGAAATGGATTTATTTAAACTGTTAACTTCAGAGGATTTTACTGTTTGCAGTTGTCTTTTTAGATTATTTGTTGAATTGACCATAATTTCTTAATGATTCCTTACATTTTAATTTTTATGTGTAAGTTCATTACAAAATATTCAGTTGTTGAATCAGTTGTCGATAGAATTTTGAATATAATTTGAAGCTATTTCAACATCAAATAGAACACAGTAATGTAAAATTAAAATTAGGCAGAAAAGGAAAAAAAAAAATCTTGTTTGGCCTAGGTTAGACAAAATTTCAAGTCAGTGAGACTCAAGCCCCCTTTTCAGGAGCAAAGCAATTTTTGCTCCTTAAGAAGCCCCTTAATTCTATACTTTAAAATGTTGTTAAAGTTATTTACTTCGTTTTTCTTTAGCTAGGTTATTAATTGAACGAGGAGCTGATCCAAATCAAAGAGACTCTGTGGGAAATACCCCTTTACATTTAGGTAAAATATGTTCTTTGGTATCATTTGTGTGTGTAACTGAAATGCTGTATTTAAGTTTTACTGTTTGTAACTGAAATGATATTTAAGACTTTGTCTATAAATTAGAAGTCAGACTATTATAAAATTGTTTAATTCAGTATACTTTTCAGTAATTTTCATCTGCATTATACTATATCTTCACAGTAATATATGCATAAATAATAATTGCAAAATAATCATGTAATTTCTTTCAAATTTTTGAAGGTAAAGGAAAGTTATTTTCAACAGGTAAGTTGTGAATGAGCAGGTGTAAATAATAGCATTTGGAACATCAGTAAAATCAAATTTCCTTGCAGCTTATTATTAAAAGAAATATGATTCATTCCTGATGCTGTTAATATTTTCTATAACTTTTTACAGCTTCAATTAAAGTGTAACTTTTATCATATGGTTTATTTATAGTTAAATGCCTTTAATAGAACTTATTAGTAATCTTGCCAATAAAATGCTTTGAATGTTCTAAATTAAATGGAAAGATATGAGTGAAATTTTGATTTAGTACCTTTAATGTAATTATGATCTGAATATTAAGCATATCTATTGTGGATGGAAACAATGCATTCAGAGATAAAAATAAGGTAAAACTGTAAGTTATGAAAATAAGCATTAAATTTTTCTGTTCTTGTTGGAATAAGTGTTATGGTAGCTTTCAATTCATTGCATTTTATATAAACTTATTAATATTATTATAGATTTGTTTAGAATTCATTTTATGTATTCTTTTATATATTTAATTCATACCAATACTATACAGTACATTTGCATTATATTTCTTATCCCAGTTTTATATGTTAATAATTTTTCTTTCATATAAATAGTTTAAAATACAGTGAAATCTCTCATGATGACTACTTCTGTGTAATGAATGCCTTAAAAATGACAAATATTCCTTATGATATAAATTAATATTGGTACTAATAATTATATCATTCTATACTTATGTGCAAGTGCAGCCACACTGGCTCATTTCAGCAATTTTTTACACAAGCAAAAGAATGATGACTTACAATACCAAATAATTATTTATATGTACATGCATGTTTTATATTCTAATTAGGTATTTATCCTGAAAATCAATTGGTAAATTTGCCTACAAGTGGGTTTTTGTTTCTGATTATCTGGTGAAAATTTCATAGTGATTATTTCATTAGGAATAGATACAAACCAAATGTTGCCTTTAGTGATTTTGTTGCAAAATACTGTACTGCTGCAGAAATCTTGCCATATTTTTTCTGCTGCAAGCAAGTCCTTTAACCCTTTGTGGTGCACTAAACTTTAATTTTTAAGAATTTCAGCAAAAAAAGTTGTATGCCGTCTATCTAGGCCTAAAGTAGTATACAGGTAAAATTTTGTAAAAATTGCACTTACCGTTTTAATTCTGTGGGTGTTCCATGAGGTGCCAGAGCTTTTAAAAGTGTGACTAAGCGAGCATTGCAGTGAAGCACGGATATGAGTAGATGCTTTTGTATAGTAATGAAAAAACACTGTATTATGGTTGTATACATAGTTTTCTGGATATACACAACATTCTTGAATATATGTGGATAAATGAGATAAATATATGTATATACACAAGTCCTATATGCAAAAATATTTACAAATATTTCGATTTCTTAGCTTCATGAAATTGTTCAAAGCATATCACACATTTGCATAGAAGCTCAACCCAACTTTGCAGGTTTTGAACACAAAACTCATTTTGTGCGGCTTCTGTTCCGTGCAACGATGTGTTTAGAATTTCAAGTAAAAACTTGAGGCTGCGTAGAGAGGCTTAGATGGTGATATGGATCATCAACTTTCTCATCAAATAAATGAGTTTCATCCGACATATCATCATCAGATTACACAAGTGGTTCAGGAGTGTATATCTCAGTATCGCTGCTATCTTCATGCTCTGATTCAGAATCAGAGGGTAATTCATGAAGCACTTTTAGCGCTTCGGAAAGAGTGAGATCTCTCCGTGCCGTTTATGGAAAATTAATAATAAAATATTAACTACAAATAATATTAACAATAAAGAAAATTAAGCTATAAGATATACATACACAAAAAATATCTACACTATTATTGAAAATAAATGAGAATGAGACTAAAAAGCGATAGCAAAAAATTCGTGCAGCTCGTAAAATGACTCGAGCTACTGATAAAATTCCTGCCTGAAAACTACTTACAAAAATTTCAAGATGCCCATATTAGGGCTTTCATAGTACAAACCACACCTCACCCCTCAAGACTGCTGTGTTTGACTTCATTTCCCCAAAACAATGGAAATAGAAAACATATACAACAGATGTTTTCTCCTAAGACAGATGTTCTGATGCGTAACAGCGCGAGATCGCTAAAGGTGCAGTGTTCCCGCTAATGGAACACCCCATTTTATTCAATGATTCTGTGCATGCTTTTTGTATGAAAAATGTAAAAAAATATATAACAAATAATATAGAGTACAGCTATCAAAATTATACGGAATTTTTTCCCAACAAATTTTTTTGTCACACAAAAAAAAAAATATATAGAAAATAAGTGGATTTTAATAACACATCATAAATGAAAATTCTGGGTCTCCTTGTGATATGCTAAAAAGAGATTATTATTTAAAAAAGAGATTACTTATTTAAAAAGAGAAGTTCGAAGTATATTATAAAGGCATTTTTATGCATTTATGATTGAATTTAATGGTTTCAGAAGCAATTCAAGTTAGGTGTTCCATATAGTGGAACACTGAGCAACAAAGGGTTAAGTGCAAATTTGAAAACAGAATTTAAGACAATAAAACAATAGCAACAAAAAACAATTGTGACTTGTCTATAGAAAACATTGTAACTTGAAATACATTGAAAAAAGCACATAAGAAAGTGGCAAGATTATTTATTCTAAGATTTGTTGTGTGCATAGTTACCAGAGTAAGCACTTGCTGAGAATTTGCCAACTTCTAAGGCAGTTGCACAAGCACACGAACTTACTATTCTCTAAGAGAGGCTGACAGGGCTGTTAGTCTTGAACTGTCTGTCTATTATATTATTTTACATTTTTTCTGTGTGTCAATCAGGTGCCTTTCTGCCAAAAAAGCATAGTTTCTTTCTAGAAGTTAGCAGAAAATAATAAATGTGTTTAGAAACTGATAATGCATTAAAAGTGTTATAATAATTAATAATATGTATTATTTTAATACAAAAAATTTATTAAACTAAATGAGCAGTTTGCAGGTTATAGTATCTACTTAGATGTTGCCCTTATTTAGTTAGTTTTAAATTTATTTATTATTAGCCCAAGGGGGCAGTTTTCCCAGAAGAGCTATTAATTTTGTTTTGGCATTTTTTGTCGTCCATTATAAAACAGCGTTTCACTTTTCAAATTGTTGCCACCAAATATTAGAGCCCTGCATTATATTTAAAGAAATCAAATGATCAAGAACATGCATGAATAAATGTATGTTTCTCGCATTGTGAAAAACAAGAGTACCTAGAGACATCAAATTTTGAATAACATAATCCACTAGAATAAGGGCATTCCACTAGAATAAGGGCATCTAAAGCCCATATTTAGAATTTGGGATCTGTTTCATATTTTATAAAACTTAACAAATTCTTGATAAATGAACTTGTTGATTTTTTTATGAGCAATGGCATCACCATTCGGGAAAAAAAAAATTAATTTTGTCTCCAGCACATGAGACTGTATATTGGAAATTCAAAAATGTGCTCTTTTTAAATGTTTTATGATAATGCTGTTGAATTGAAATTTAAAGTTTAAGGTGCAACAAACATATTTAAATAAAGTTTACACGAAAAACATTCAAAAAGCACCCTTTTGAGCATAATATAAAATCTAAGTGCTTTTAGATTTAAAATATATATAATTTATAAATATACAGTAATAATAAAAGTTATTGCTTTAATAAGCATATAACTAATTAATTAGGTAGAAGTAAAAATAGGCTTAATTTTTAATTACAGGGTTTGTCCTTAAAAAATCCTTAGGTTTTTTGGAATTGAATTTTGGTTCTTAAAAGTCCTTAATTTCGGCCAAAATCGGTAGAAGGTCCTTAATTTTAATCATCAGAAATTTCTGTCTGCTTTTACAACTGCCATTTTTAGTGTGAATTAGCATTTTGGAGGAATGTTTTTGACGATTCACTGGTTATTATATGGTTATCCTTTTAAATGTTTGAATAATTTGTTCCTATTTCTAATACAAATGTTGGAATACTCGAGATTCTAGGCAAAAAGTGAAACATAAGCATTTCGAATTTTTTTTATTTTTTCTAATGAAGAGCTATTAAACTTTTCACTTTGGGGGATGTGAATTTTTCCCCCCAATGGCAGATTGTGAACAATTACAAACGTAACCCAGCCCATTAATCTATACAAGGCTGCATGTGGTGGTCTGTTTATTATGGAGGCACCTAATAGGTGGGCTACCATCGCCTTTCCTATGAAGGAATGGACATGCCTTCTCCGGGATTCGAACCCAAGCCCTTCAGCATCGTAGTCAGCTTCCCTTACCACTATACCGACTATGCGGCGTGAATTCGCTTTAAATTAAACGCTAAAATTTTGAACCGTTTGAAATGGTTCAAAATTTGGTGACATTATCAACATTTTGGCGATTTTAAGATCAGTTTCTACAGAAAAAAATTTTTTTGGAGGTCTGGAAAATTTTTGACAATTTTTTTAAAACATTTTAACATTGAAAATCATTAAAATAATGATAACATATTAAAATTATGTATGATATATTGAAATTATTGTATGATATATTGAAATTACGTATGATAAATATCATTAAAATGAAACTTTTTATTTTTCACTGCAAAATTATAAATAAATTATATATTACTTTTCTGTAACTGGTCCTTACCACGTATCATTCATATTTATTCTAAATGTTCATATTACTAAAGGAATAAAATTAGCAGCATTTTCTGTGCATATAGTTTTTAGAATAACAGAAATCTTTAATTAAATCCAAAAATTCTAAAATCAAATGAAATATATTGAAGAAAGAAAAAGAAAATTATTCTTCAAAGATGTGTAGAGTTATTATTATATAAATTAACCAGTTGTTTATAATTTCAGTCTTTACTATAACTTCCTCTTTTCCTCGCCAGAATGCAAAATCAGTTAGATAGTTTCTAAACTGATGTTTTTGAATTGTAAAACAGAGTGTATTTCTGGCTTTGGCATGCACGCTGCATTAGTTTCTGCCAGCTCTGATAATGTGCAATTATTCCTCTTTGTGTTTTAATTTATTAGCATGAAAATGTGCCTTTATGGTCTAAGTTTTTTTTTTTTTTTTTTTAATAAATAAAGATTTATTTAAACCTTTATCTGACTTTGTAGTTACTATCAGATATGGCGATAATTTGTTTAATGTCTGTCAGAGGTTTTGGACTATTTAACTTTCACCAGATCATGCAAAACCTCACAGGTACATTGTCAAGAGACTGACAAGTTAGAAGATAAAGCACGCAGAAAGTGGGAACATTGTTTTGCATTTTGAAACCAATTTCTAATTGTTAGAAAATATGCTTAGAGAGAAGTAAATTGATATAAATTAGCTAAAATGTCTGGAAAGGCTTCAAATTAAAAAGACTCAGAAATATTTTGTGTTGTGTGTTGTTACAAAACACAAATATTTGTGGATTTTAATATGTAATTATCCTAATATTGTTTAAGAATCTGTGTCATAAATTACTGTATTTTAAACTGTGAAATGTTATTAGATTGTGATTTTAATGGTGCTATAACATTTAAAAAAATAAATAATATTTTATAGTGGCCATGTAAATTATATCTGCATATTAAAGCGATTTATTGCCTTTCATTAAGCCTTACCATGATTATAAAATACAGCATAAAAATGAAAAATTATATATATATATAAATTAGTCTTTGCAACTAGTGAGACTTAAAATAATACAAAATAACTCGTCACCTCTGGTGCTTTAGTGACTTATTGGTACCTTAAACTTTATTAACTGGATTACAATCCCAAGAAGCTCTACACGAAGCTATAACACTAACTACATCAGACAGATGGAGCACAACTAACTTTCAAACCTTGCATACATCAGGCTTTCAGGTTTGTTCTAATCATCAGCTCTCTGTCTAGGGAAGCAGTAGCTACAAAAGCTATGTTAGCTATAAAAATAATATTAATGTCAAATTTTGCAGAATGAAGAAGCACCAGAAAATTGAAGCATGAAAAAATACAGCAATGATAATGAAACCATGATCTGTCATCTAAGGGAGATTTCACTGTTGTTTCCTAGTAATTGTAAAGTAATTTTTATAAATTTATTTCAGCTGCTTGCACTACTAACATAAGTATGGTAACAATTCTGCTCAGAGCAGGTAAGTGCTTTACTTTGCATTTTAAATAATTAAATTCTTGCTTTCAGAAGTTTGTCACATATTTATTGCACAGTAAAATGCAATAAATATTAATTATCTTTCATGCATTTGTAATTTTTCTCCATATCTGTAATTGTGAACAAAATTTTACTACCCTGATCATGATTATCTATGCTATGTTAACTGACATATCCTTGAATCCCAGAAAAAGTTTGCATGTTAGCATTTATAGTGTTTTGCTGCATGAGAGCACTTAAAATTCATGGCAAACTAAAAGAATTCTAGAAAAGATTGGTGGCAAAGGAAGGGGCATCAGATTCTGGGATCCATCTCCTAGAAGATTCTCCTTCAAAACTGCATTGGAACTGGGTAAAGCAATACTCTTGCCTATAAGGTGTCCAAAGCCCTTGTCAAACAAAATACATAATCCTGCATACCTCGTTGTAAGTTGGATAAGCCAATGTAATTCTTGTTTTAATTCTTCAACTTTCTGAGACTGTTTGCAGATTTAAATTGATAGTTTTATTAAATCTTTTCTGTGTAAAAATTTTTGTTGCTGAATGTTAGATGAATTACTCTCTTATGTAACTATTTGTATTCTTATAGTAGCACTTATCAAAGAGTTGAAATTACATTATTAAATCAAATCTATTGTAGACTTTTGTTCGTTGACTTTCATGAAATTTAAATCAGAGTTGGAGGGCTACTTGATTTTAACCATGACGAAGAAAGCTGACTCTATGTGGGGGTAAATCAATTTTAAAAAAAGCCAGTTCTTCACCTTTTCCCTTTTATACTAAAGGTTTGATATAAAGTGGATTTTGATTTTACATGTTGATTTAAAGAATGACACATTTGATGGCAAACATTAAAAAAAAAAAAAAAAAAAAAAATGGAAGAAAAAAGAGAAATTATGAATCAGTGAAGAAATGTTAATTTAATTAACGAAGCAACACTATATTTGCCCCCATGCTATGAGTTTACTTACTGTGAGCTTTTCCCAATCAAAGGGTTCAGCCTGTAAAAATCTGTAGATTTACAGCTCTTCTGTACATAAGCAGTTGCTCATCTTCCTCACACTTCTTCACATGAACCACCTCATGTGTTCTATATTGAAATATAAGCTGAAATATTTCTCATGATTATAGCAGCTGTATAACTTTATGATGGTATTATAAAAGGCTGTAGACAGTATTTTCACCTCTTTTCCTTTTTATAATGCATTCGGTTTTACAAAGTTCCATCTCCTTTTCCTCCCCTCCTTGAAAATAATTGATAAATGTTAAAATTGCAATTTTCAGATTGATTAATTTTAAAAAGTTACTATTTTTAGAATTGAAAAAGGAAATAACTGAAAAAAATTAAGGGACTATTACAAACTAAAGTTAATATTATCTTGTGTATTTTTTATTGCGAGTATTATAGATTATGACAGTATTTGGATGCTATATTTTTTAGTATATCATAGGTGGTAATGCTGATGGTGCTCACACTGGAAACATTTTTTATTTAAAGGCAGTAATGCATCTATATCTTTGATATTCATTTGTAGGATAAAATATAGTAGGCAGAAATGTGTATGAACCCTGAATGTTTCGGTCAAGGATAATTAAAGATGGTTTAGGGCAGGGTTTCTCAATCTATGGTATATATAACATTAACATACTTATATTATTTTTAGTAATGAAATTTTTACATGAATGATTAAAATTAATATTCGAAATGAACCTAAAATAGCAACTCTTTTGGCAACATGATGGTTACATGTATTTTTTATTCCTATTTATGTGGTATAAAATTCAAAATGCTCAAGAATCTTTGGTTTGGAGACTATATTTATTATTTATTTCAAGAAATTTATTGAGTATTTGAAGCTGTATGTGCTTCAGTGTCTTGGATATTTTGTTAATAAATTCTAAGGTGTACATATGTATTTATATAAATGTTGATTTGTATTATGATAGAGGTATATTGATTGGAGTTATTCCCAAAATACTGTAAATTGTATCCTGGATATATACTGATTAATTGTTACAGTACCTGAAGATGCTTCTAACCCTAATCATATGAACTTTGTGAAAAATATATTAGATAAAATTATAAATAAGTTTATTTAATATTTCCATTTTTCTTAATCTTCCATCTTCATATTTCCATTTTTCTGTAATAACCTCTATTAGTTAATAAGTAGAAATATGGCTGTAAATTTAAAATGCTCTTTGGGCAATGAGTTTGACATAATGATCTATAATTAACTGTATAAAGTGCCATGGTGAATTTTGGCTGTGTTTTAGAATAAGAATTGACAAAATAATTGAACATCAGCTGCTAAAATTTTATTAATACAACAGTTTATGACTTATATTATGACCTTTGCAAAGCTTGAAAATCTGATTGGTTTGCACAAGTAGATGACACCTAGTGTTTCCAGGTCATTTCCATACATCTCTAGATTAAATCTCAAAACAATGTCCAATAACTCATCTAAAACAATCGAACTTCATATTAAACCAAGAATGAGCTGTCACTTGCAGTTCATCAGCAGCATGGAGTTGCAGTTAAGAAGCCAAAGTATTTAACCTCTTTTTAAAATACAGCCAAATCCCGAAAATCCGCCGACTTGAAATCTGCATCGCCCCTCAAAATATAAACAATCAGTTTATAGGTTCCGGAAACCGCAACAGGGAGTACGAAATATTGAAGAAAAAATACTTACCGAATAATAATGAGTCATAACGGATGTGCTACTTCTCGTTTATAGCAGAATCGTATGGAATTGCGACACGGACTGTGTAGGATATACGGAAAAATAAAGAAAAGCTGTTAAAATTTTACAGCAACAGTGATTCTAACACGGGAATCCGAAACCCGAAATTGGCAAACCTTGATGCTGTCTTGTACAAGTGATTCAGGCAGCGGCGGAGTGATGGGGTACCGATTTCAGGACCGCACCTGAGAGAAAAAGGGAAGCAGAATCATGCTAATTTAAAAAAGAGGAGCCTTACTGATTTAAAAATAGAGGAGACTTATGTAAATGAATAATATAATCAATTTATGTATGTAATAATAATTTAATGCATATAGTAAAATTATTATAATACTGTATATAATAATTTAATTAAATGCATCTAATACGCCGTATTTATTTTGAGCTTTTAGTCTGAATATTATGATTTATATTTTCTGTCCTGAAATCCACACAACCTCTGGTCCCAAGGTTTGTGGATTTCTGGACTTCTACTGTAGTTGAAATTTATATAAATTTCTGAATTGAGGCAGTTATTGTGATGGAAGCGGAAGGCAATATTCATGTTGAAGCTTAATTGATTAAACAAATTAAAATAATCATTGAAGTCATAAAACCTTCTATGGGCACGTAAAATATTTTGTATAAAAATGTAAGGAATGTAAATAAATGATACTTTAATCTTGAAATTTTGCTTTTTTTATTGAGTGAAAAACGTGCTTTGTATGAACATGTTACAAAATGAGTCCGTGTTGTTTCAGATGATTCATTTATGTAAACTTGTGGCTGTCTCAGTGATGAAAATTGGTGTTATCTATCAATTAAAAGATTCAGCTTATTGTAAAGCTGTTACCTTTCTTTTCGTTAGTAAATGTTGTAATGAGTAATGTTATCAAATACAGTCAAAAGTCTTTAATCCGGACTTGTCGATACTTCGGCGATTCCGGATTATAGATCATCAGTATAAATCTGATAAGATGGAATGCAGAAATTATAAAATTAAAAATATGAAACTTTAATTTATGAAATAAAGAGCAATTATGATCTAAAGGGTATCAAAATTAACAAAAAAAAAGCTTAATATTTGTTTACTTTATTAAAAATTTCTTTCAGCGCGCGCACGCGTAAAGCATACATTACGCATAGTCGAAATTAGAAAATTGCAACCAGAAAACTATTTGATGTGTATTCGTGATATTTATAATGATGAGGAATTTGATTTAAATCATATCAAAGAGGGAGTACATCAAGATGAAATACTACATTTAGTAAGGAATTATAAGCCGACTAAAATAAAAACATCTGCCCTGAAGATAAGAATAGTGCTGACAGATCAAATTCCAGTTTTCATTGCGAGCCGCGTCGCCCCCCCCCCCCTCCCGGCAGAGCAGCGTGCAATTGATAAACATATTTCGGAATGGTTAAAGAATCAAAGGATATGCCTTTATCCATTTTTTTTGCAGCAATTCCACTTTTTGTTTGATGGACATCGAAACATGCTTTCGCTTTCTAGATTCTTTGGTAGCTCCAGAATCGGAAATTCTTTTCGACATAATCGAAAGTTCAAGCTTACTTTTATAAAATTGCTCTAACAGTCTGCGAAAAATAATAAGCTGGATCCAATTAGAAGATTAAGGAACAACGCAATCTGCAACATTAACTGAAATAGATAATTAGATAATTTTAGCTTAGCTTATACCGTCCGTTATACATTAAATGTGCATGTGTTAACCCATTATGCGTTGACGCATGCGCAGAAAGTTTGTAGCTTTGAGGTCCGGATTATAGATCATTCCGGATTAAAGACTTTTGACTGTATAATTTCATTTTATTTAATTCCCTTCGAGTGGTGATTTACTATTTTGATAGTAGATAATGAAAAGTACTCTTATCTAAATATATCTGCATTTTTTGACTGTATAATTTAATTAATAGTTTGCATAAATCTGATTTAAGATGAACAAAACTGAACAAAATACACACAAGTTATATTTTTTAGGTACTGATATAAATGCACTTGACTATTCTGGTCGTTCGCCATTTCACCTAGCTCAATCCAAGCTTAAACTTCTTCGGATGAATAAAGATTACTCATCTCTTGAGCTGAAAACTGAAGTTATACAAGTAAGTTTTTATTATCGCATGTTGAAATTTTTCAAATCATAAAAAATGTATATGCATGTGGATATTCTGCTTGATTATAAAATAATTACTTATAAGATTTCTCCCTGATAGAAAAAAGTAAATAGAACTACCAAAAACAGTTTTTTAGGGGATCATTGTTTGGAAATTTAGTAAGCATTACTGTAAATATCTATTAAGTGGACTGAAGTATCATTTGAAGGGAATTAAACAAAATGAAATTATATTTTTATACACAAATGCATTAAATCAGCCTATATATATGAAATAATTTAGGTGTTCAGAGCATGGAAATGCTTAAAGAAGTAATTTTATTAAAGTTGTTAGCAAGCATACCAGTTGAATACTTCTTTATTATTCTTAAGAAACACATTTGTAGCTTGAAATAGAGTATAATGCAGTGAATACAGTCTCAGCCTGTTTGTGATCACATTTGTGCCTTTTCTATATCTTTATAGCAATGAATTTCAGTGCAATAAAAATAAAGTAGCAGCGGAGAACAATATGGCACAGAAGAAAGAAAAAGAATGTGCCATGTCCAAAATAATAGGCTTGGACATGGCACAAGATGAAAGCTGGGGTCTGAATGAATTTTAGTTAAGCTTGATTTTTGGTTGATGTTTAGTTTCAGCTCCCAAATTAGGAATGATTGAAGGCTGAAGACTTACGTAAGTGCCTACATGATTAACATTCTACAACAATCATGTGACATAAATTAATCTTATAATTGCAATTTTTGGATTGATTAATTATAAAGAGTTACTATTTTTAGAATTGAAAAAGAAAATAACGGAAAAAAATTAAGGGACTATTACAAACTAAAGTTAATATTATCTTTTCTGTTTTGTATTGTTTGTGTCATAGATGGTAATGCTGATGGTGCTCACACTGGAGACATTTTTTTTATTTAAAGGCAGTCATGCATCTGTATCTTTGGCATTCATTTGTAGGATATAATAAAGCAAAAATATAATAAAGCATATATTCATTTCTTTTATATAATGGCAACCCTGCTATAAAGACTGGTGGCTGAAAGCACAGAGAGTGCAAAGATTATGAATAAGATTAATAATAGCAAAATTATCTTGTAAATTTTTCATTACCTCTTTCATTTCATTTTCTCTTTCACCATTGCTCAAGTGTATGTTATAAATGTTATATAAGAATCCTGTAACAGGAATTGCATACTTCAGAAGCATGTTACTAGTTTTAAGATCAAAAAGAGAAGCATTAAATTAAAAAGGAAACTTTAGGGGTAAATTAATGTTAAAAAAATTATCTTAATATTCCTTCAAAAGAATCCCTTCAAAATTCGCCTTAATTCCCTTCAAAAGAAAAAGGGGGCTTGGTGACAAAGAAAAAGTCTTTTTGTTGCAAAAAAAAAAAAATTTTGAGTATCAGAAAATGAAGAGAAATATGAATGGAAAATATAAACTGTGAAAATCTTTAAATGAAAAGTATAAATTGTAAAAATTTCAACTAATTTAATAATTTTTAAATGGAAAACCATGACATAGTATGTATATATAAGAATAATTGTAATATTCAGTTTTTAAAATATATTCCTCCCAAGCAGCAAAAATAAAATATTGTAGAGTACAACAAGATCAAAGTACAAAAACAAAAATAATGCTGTGGAGTAAAATAATTAATCGAGTTTTATTTGGCAATATTTTATTTTTGTTATTTTTGAGGAATATGATTTTAAAGATTGAGTACTAGAATTGCTCTCCATTACCTCTAAAATTCTGTAACTTTCATATCATTTTTTAGGTATAGATTGTTTATAACTTAATTACTTTTTGAAAAATTTGTGATAGGTGTATATATATACATAATAGAATCTGTTAACTGGACCTCAACCATGGCATTTGTTAACTAAGCCAGCAATCAGTTTAGAGAAATAATTCTTAAAATATAGTGACATTAGAAAGGGTATAGTGAAATTCAGGAACATTTTTTAATTTTGTTGGTGGTTAATCTTTTGGCATTTTTTTAATTTAATGTCCTTCCTATTGTGCATTACAGTAAAAACTGTGGCTCGCATGTTTTAAAAAATGAAAGAACCGCTAGAACATGGGCATGTTTCAGAGGGTAAATGGATAATGTTTTGAAAAGGATAAAAGTAGAAAATATCAAACCGAATTTTCAAGTTTTAAATGACGAAGAAATAAGTGTTTTAGTCTGTTCCTTGAACGTTTCACTTACTTAACACATAATGCCACTGGTATAAGACCTAAGCTTAGATATAAGATATTCATATATCGTTATAGAACTGATATACAGTGCAAAGTCCGTAATCCGGACTCGTTGGGACTTCGGCAATTCCGGATTATAGATCATCAATTTAAATCTGGTAAGATGGCATGCAGAAATTATACAATTAAAAATATGAAACCGTAATTTATGAAATAAAGAGCAATTATGATCTACAGGGTATCAAAATTTACAAAAAAAAAGCTTAATATTTATTTGTTTACTTTATTAAACATTTCTTTCAATGTAAGTTGTTTAAGTTGCTTCGGTTTTTGTGCTAAACGCGCATACGTAAACATTAAACGTGCATGCGTAAACGTATTACACGCATGCGCAAAAGCATACAAAAAAAAAAAGCTTGTGGCTTTGAGGTCCGGATGATAGATCATTACGGATAATGGACGTCCGGATTACAGACTTTGTACTGTACATATTTATTGATCTAATTTATGACGTTTCAATTGTTTGGACCAATCATATTACATATTATGTGGCAAAGAATATACCAAAGTTGAAGCAGTTAATGTTTGCTAAATGAATTCAAATTTATTACAGACTGCCGGTAAGTTTTAGTACTTTCATTATTAAATAGATTCCAGCAGATCTAAGCATTTTGAAGTAACTAAAGAATAGTTCTAATTCAATATCTGAAACAAAATGTACAAATTTAATGTAAAAACATGCAATTTGATAATACAGCAAAACACGAAAGCTTAGGATGGAAACCAAGCTTATTTACCTGCGCTCAGCCAAACTAAGGCCAAAAAGGAGCATATGAAATCTAAAGTTAGAAGTTTAGCAAAGAGATGTCCGGGTTAATGGTTACTGCTCTTCCCTGTTCATATTTGAATCTGCAGCCATAGATTGTTGATGCCCAAAAATAATGTTACCTCTTTTTAGTATATGATCGATTTATATTTAATTCTTCATTTTTAAATTTTGTGCTTTTCTATACTCCAGGTCTTGAACTCTCACAAATGACTCCAGCAAAAAAAGGAAAAATTAAACATTTATAGTAGAAGATCATTTCAAGAGGCCTGGACAGAATCATTTTGATTTATTGAACACAATAGGAAAGCATTATGCATTTTGTGCAGGTAAAATGTTGTGTGTCACACATCTAGTATCAGACGGAACTTTAACACCAACTACAAGATTGTTACTGAATTTGATGAAGCTGAATGGAAGGTGTTTGTTGAAGAGAAATTGAGGAATTATAATTACCAGAAAGTTGGGCTTTGCAATTATCTTTCTAAAACAAACCATATAACAATGGCTGGCTTTCAGATTTCACTGTGCCTTGCAAAACATGGCAAACTGCTCTCATAATGGTGATTTAATCAAAGAGGTCATGTTGTCTGGGAGCAATTCTCTTTTTCATGACTTTGAAAATAAGGACAAAATTAAACTAAACTGCTAAATGGCATTGCTGAGATGCCACTTAGCAGAAATACTGTTAAAGATCGAGTCCTGCGGATGGCAAGTGAAATTAGTCAGCAACTCACCACTGACTTACAAAAGGCACCCTGTTACTCAATGTGCTTGGATGAAAACACAGATATAAATCACCATGCTAGATTAGCAATAATTTTGTGTTATGCTGTTGGTGATACAATGAGAGAGAACTGGTTAAATTGGCATTTTTGCCTGAAAGAATACAAAGAATAGATATTTACAATTCTGTGATGGAAGCTTTTTTGCAACAAGATATAAGATCAGAAAAAGTAGTTTCAATTACTAGTAATGGTGCACCTTGCATGTTAGGAACAATATCTGGTTTCATTCAGTCCTTTATCAAAGAAGCAAAACATCCAGTTATTCAGTTTCATTGTCTCATTCACCAAGAAGCTCTTTGTGCCAGGGGCAACTTCAAAATATTAGACTCAAAGGTGTCACCAAAATGGTGAATTACTTCTTGATGAGGTTCAAGCTTATGTACAGTAATATCCATTGGTTGAGCAGAGGACAGGTTTCAGAGAGATTTGTAAGCTGCTTGGATGAAATTAGGCTATTTTTGAATGAAAAAGGGCAGGATTATCCACAGTTCACTGATAAGGTCTGGATTAACAATGCTATGTTTTTTACAGATTTTACACAACATTTCAATGTACTAAACAAGCAAAAGCAAAGGTGGGGAAAACTTCAGAAAAGATGTTTTGTGATATAAAAACATTTGAAAGAAAACTGCATGTTTTTGAAAGAGATCATGCAAGTGAGCAGCTGAAATATTTTCCAAATCTAAAGATGCATCTAGAAAATTCTACACAATTTACACACAAATTTCAAGTATGAAGAATCACAAGGTATTTTCAAGCATCGTAGCAGCTGCAAAGGAGAATTTTAATGATAGATTTCTAAAGTTCCGTCAGATGGAAACAACCATGTGTTTTCTTACTTCTCCAGATAAATCTATGTTTGAAGAACTTGATCTTTCTTGCTTATAATGGTTAGATCTTGAAAATCTGGAAATGGAGCTATTGGAATTTCAAGAAAGCTTTACATGGAAAAGAAAATTTTCTGATCTGCATGCAACACTTGAGAATTTGGAGTGTAAAGAGATCACACAGGACAGCACATTTCATAGTTATGAAAACTAAATCCTTAAAGCATGGAAATCTCTTCCAAATAAGTTTAAATCAGTGGAAATACTTGGGGGGGGGGGTATTCTTACTTTGTTTGGATCATCTTGTGCATGTGAACAGCTATTTTCAACTTTCAAGTATATCAAATGTGACACAAGAAACAGACTGACAGATAACCTGAGTGCTGCATATGTTGCTCTCAAATTAATGAAGTAAGAGCCAAGGTTTGACGAATTATCATTATGTATACAACCGCAAAAATCCCTTTAATTATGCAAAACCAATCTATTTCCTGTAATGAAAAGTTTTTTGTATCATTGAATACTCTCTTCTCATTTTTTCTTTTTAAGTCCTAAGACAAGTGTGTGTCGTTTTGCTAAGCCAAACCCCCATTTTTAGCTTTAATTGGAGTGTTGGCCTATAAATAAATGGGTTTTGGTTGAATTTTGGGCACACCGCCCCAAAAAAGGTTTACCACCACTGGCATAGATGATGATGCCAATCTTTATTGAAGGAAAATTCATTCAGAGCCAGCTGAAACAGTTCTTTCTTTTTTTGTAGCTTTAGTAGAGTAAATGTATAAGCTGCCCAGACAGTATAGTGGTTAGGGAAGACTGACTGTGATACCAAAGGACCTGGGTTCGAATCCCAGAGAAGGCATAGATGTAATATTGTCTGTTCCTTCATAGGAGGTAATGGTGGCTGCCTATTAGGTGCCTACACAATAAAATGGCCACCAGTTCTGGTCTTAGTAGTGGCCAATGCCGTTATAGGCAGGTACCCGCCATTGTGTGTGGGGGGGGGGGTAAATGTGTAAGCCAAATTAGTGTCAGAAGTGTCCCATTCGTTTCAAGATGCACACACACACACATATATATATATGTATGTATACTTTCTTAAAGATGTCACAAAAAACATTCTAGTCTCGCCTTGCCATTCAGAGGGTTAATTGCTGATTTTTCTGATTAAATTTGATACATCTTTTGCTCTGCTTGGTAACAACACATTGCTTTTAATTAGCTCAGTTTGTTAACTAAAATTTCATTAATTTTGCACAAAACATAAAATTATATTTTTAAAAAAAATCATTAAATATAAATTAAAATTCAGGCATACAGGTGCAAATGTATAAGCGGAGAACTATTTATATTCAGAATTTAGTGACTTAAGATGTCATTGTTTTTTCACAATGTGAGAAACAAACATAGGTACATATATACATTCAGATTCTTCGTTATTTAAAATAAAGGTTATGATCTTTCAGTTGAAACTTTATCATGGCTTGACTAGCAGTATGATACTTTTAGATGCAATTTTTTTCTCCTAAGATTTTCAAATCTTGTACAGAAATATGTGTCCACTTAATAGTAAATATGTGCTGTTTGTTTATTTGCCAACTGAGCTCTGTTTTCAAGGTGCCTCTGAATTTTGTGTGTGTGACCTCCTCCTCAAAAAAATATTGTGTATAATGATATGTTTATCAAATATAGGCAAAGATGTTAATTTTCATGGATTTTTTTTTTTTTAAAGTACAGAATTTTAACATATAGTTTCTTGCAACAATGTGTTTGGGAATTTTAGTTTTATGCAGAAATATATAAAGAAAGAAATTACATTGCTACTATAGTGTGCCCTTTTTTTTTTTTTTTTTTTTAAGGTGTTGGAAATGATGCAAGTGTACTTGCAAAGGTCTGGAAGAATATGTGAGATGGAATTGATTCACTTATTTTCAACTAGACTCCATCATCATCAGACTAAAGAAGAGGTAATCTTCTATTTGTTCATATATCAAAGCAATTATATGTGAATAAATAGCTTTTATAAAGCAATTATATTCATATATTGCTAATTGCTTTTAAAAAATATTTTTTTTTATATAAAAGACACAACATTTATGTGAAATCACTTTTTTTAAGTTGTGTGTTAACTGTCAGAAAGAGTAGATACATATAACATTTTTTATGAATAAACTCACTCCAGATGCTAGGTTGAAACCTGAATTTTTCAAAATTTGTTTTAATTTTATTACTTAATACTTTTGTTTGTTTTTTAGGTGGACACAGATGTGAAAGATCTGCTATCAAGTCTGTCTCATCTAAATCTTCAAAAAGCTTAATGAAAGCAGATGATCTGCATCTTTTATCTTAAAAATGCTTCTCATTGCACAGTATGCATTGAAATGCATTTAAATTTTGTTTTTATGCATTTTGCTTTGGTGCGTTTTCATCTTAGTAAAATAACTATTGTGTATATATTTTCTATGAATTTTCATACGTGTAATGATTGGTATTGATGTTGTGTATTATGACTCATTTTGTAATCTGAAAGCAGTCTGCCATATTCTAATAATTTATTACTATTGTAGGGCAGAGTTTCTCAACCTTTTTTTTTCCCTCACCATCCACCCCTTTTACCATTCCTAGATGATTACCTTCCTCCCCTTCTTTCTAAAAGTCAAAAAATATATATGCATTTATTTAAATTTTGATTGTTTTTTTTGATAGAAACGTCTAAAATTATGAAAATTGATATTTATAGTAGTAAATAAAGTATGGTAAGGAAATGTTTCTGGTAAGAAAATAATTGGATGCTTTTGTAATGATGGTTATTTATATGCAGTGTAAATCAGGGAAATAAGAGTAAAATGTAGTAATTTTTCAATTATAAAATATTGATTCCTCCCCTCTTAATTTGCACTTATTTTAATATTGTTAAAAGGACATAGTTAAATGGGTAAATTTGTTAGTATATTTCCTTTGTCATTGGTATTAATTACCGAATTCATTTATTCATATCAAATAATGTTATATACAGTGACTATTTTCCCCCCCTTTTTTTAATAAAAAGAAATAAATAATAATAAAAGCTTTTTTAATAAAAGCTGATTAGAATATACTGGCATGTGTTGTGGCATTAAAAAAAAAGAAATAGTATAAAAACAATACTAGGAAGTAGTAAAATCCTTTCAATTTAACATTCAAATCCACATGAAAAATATCTGTAGGACTAAAAATAAAAATATAAATGAATGAAAAATGCATGAACTGAAATGAAATCACAAACAAATATTTGTCCCAATTAAGGCTGCTGATAGATTTGGTGTAGCTAATATTTTTCATTCTATCATTGAGAGAATATCGTAAAATTTTCATAAGAGATTTTAATGGAAATCTTAAAGTGCGAAAGAACGTACCGAAGTACTAAATATCTCTTACCCTGATTTTCAGAAAAAGTTTGAAATGTTTTATATTTTGGCTTTAAATATGCTTAGCTGATGTGAGGCCATGATAGTTCTTCACTCGTGTGTTACCTGCATGATCATCAAGCTCTAAACTTGAAAACATTAAACAATCATCAAGACGGTATTCATCAGAAGTAATTGTAAACATAAATGAATGTTTGAATACATAACAGCTTTTGAACGGGATCACAGCTGTCCACTGTATTCTAGCACAGTTTGTGCTAGTCTTGATTAAAGAAAAGTGCAGTTGCATAGGCATTTCGCAACTTATTTTTTAATTATGTTTGTATAAGATTGACATCATCATTGTCATGGAGATCACCTTCTAAGCAAAAGTAGAATGCTCAAGATAAAATGTTGAGTTAACCTTAAATGTACATATCTGCACCAATTCTAATAGTGTAAATAATTTTTTCATTATCTTTTTCATCCCTTTGATACATAATTTTAGTATCAAGGCATTTACTGTTTAATTTTTCTTTTACATTTAATGCAACTGCTTTTCTCTGAAATATTTTCATTTATGGCTACTTCTTTAAAATGGTTTTTTATATTACTGCTCAAATATGAACATTTTGATTTAAACTGAGGATTTAAAATTTTCATTAATTAAGCATATCGTAACAAAGCAGTATTGTTCATTCAACTAGTTCATTGTGCATATATATAAAGACATTGAAAGGTTCTTGTGCTTCTAAATAAGATTTTTTCATAAGAATTTTTCTAATATTCTATAATGTGACTTTTATACAAAATAAGACAAAATTTATAAAATATTTTCCCCCTAGAATGAAATGTCATTTTTATAGTAAGTGTTTTTACTGTGACATTCATCTTCATGAAAATGATTCAGAGCAATGCGCTCATATTTTTATCTTGTAGTTTTTTTATATTGCATTTTTTAACTGCAATACTTTAGGTGTATGCTATTCTTTAATTTTTTGAAGTAGCATGAAATGAAATCATTTAGATTAAAATTGCTGTGGACTGAATGAATTTACTTAAACCTGAAAGTGAAGCTATATTGTATATAGAGTAATTTAGGGCTTGTAGATATATATTCCAAACTCATATAAACCAGCACTTGAATAATATGTGCTGTGCCAACATTAACTATAATATAAGTACACTCTTATTAAGATATGTGTCAGATTTTCATATTTTGTACTTCCTTTCAAAATTTTGGCATTTTCCTTTAAGATCAGAATTGTCTGTATTTTCAATTCTTAACTTGTAAATTATTTTATAAACTGAAGGAAAGCTTCCAAATATGTTATTGTATAAATATGTGTACAAAATATGTTTGTTAACTTAATTGAATACAAGAAAATTTATTTTTAAATACTTTTAGACTACTGTATATGAGTATTAAATGTAAAAACATTTCCTAGTTTTTTATATTGATCCATCAAAAGATGATTTTTAATGTAAGAATAATAATTATGTAGCTGAATTTAGATGCATTAAACTAAAATATACTTAGATAAATATTTATTTTATGTGACAACTTTCTTTTGTTGGTTTCAAAAAATTTAGAATTAGGCTGAGTAACTTAGGTCAAATTTTTAATAGCATCTCCAGAGTGGGATTTGACAGCTTTTATGCATTTGCTTGTTATTCAGGCCTCTTAATAAGTAAATGATTGCCTTTTTTGTGTATGAGATGCAAGGCTGCAGTTTGTTGGGAATTTCATGATTTCTTTTTAATAAACAACTTGTATCTTTCTGCAGGAGTTAAATATTAATAACAATTAGAAAATTTTTAAATGTATAAAATTCTTGCATACCATAGGGTAAATCTAGAAAAGATTGCATAAGTTTTTAAGATAAGTTTAGCTAGGCATACGTAAAATAAATTTTCACAACTGAATTGAAAATTTATTAATCATAACAAATATTAATTCATTAAATTTATATTGATATATTTGAATTTTGGTTTCTTTTATATAGTATTTAACCTCTCAACAGTGCTTTTATAACAGAAAAAGTAGCTATAGATTGTACATATTTGTTTTTTCTATAGTTTATCTACCCATGTGTATTCGATATATATTATAAAGCTCTATAGCCTTGAAATATATTGAATGGCACTAAAATATGAAACTGTAAAGTAAACAAAACCTCTAATTTTTCATTAAGATGGAATTTTTGGAATTAGTAAGTATCAATAAATAATTAATGTACAAAAGTATTATTTAACAGCTTTGCATTGCTGAAATATCAGACATAATTTTTATGGTATTTCTGATGCACAGAAAACAAGAATAATAAAACTATTTTCCTTTCCAAGTTCATATAACAAGTTTCTAGAATGCATTTCCTATCATGTAATTTATGTATATCTTATGTAGACTATGTGTAAGTTCCTTTGTATTTAAACTTCGTTTTAATGTACAAGTTTTATCTGATGTGTAATAAATTTCATTTTTGCATAAAGAAGTAATATCATACATGTTCAGTATGGTACTGACATTCCTTTTATTTTCACTCTTTGTATTATTTTATATGCATATTTGTATATGTAGTCATTTGAATTGAAGCAGGTGGTTCTAGCATATTTGATAAAAAAGGTAAAAAACATGCATCAATGTGTATGCAACGTAGCTTTTCATTATGTTACATTTGTAATTATATATATATATATATATATATA